TAATTTAATAAGTAATGACAGGATGTACAGCACTAGCTACTGTACTTGCGATGTGAGAAGGTTTAAAAGAGTGCTACATAGGAGTCAAAGACAGAAAAGGAAGAATAAGAAACCATGACAAACCAGTAAGGGATGACCAGATGATGGATGAGTACCATAGATGTCAAGTACCACGACTGCCCTGGGATCAGGCAGACGGAGGCTCCACATTAGACGAGGTGGAAGGAGCGGAAGGAGTCTCGGTCTCCACAGGAGCGGGATCTCCAGAGTCTGCTGGCGCTGGAACCGAGGGATGAAGGGCAGACTGGACGCGCTCAAGTTCATCAAGGAGGAAAGCGCGCTGTTTCTCGGCAGCGTATAGAGTGTGCTGGAGCACAAGGACATCACCCATGAGGGCACTCTCGAGCTTGGCCAGATGCTCAGGTCTCTCCACCGTGAAACGACCCATGGCCGATCCTTTATAACTCTCGCGCAAAGCATCGACACTAGGAGCAGCTCCCTCATCGTTGGCAACTGAAAATATGAAGAGCGCAATTAAGAAATGACATAACGAGCAATGAAAAAGAGATACATACAGGCACTAACAAGTCCAAGAGCTGAGGCAGGGCGCCGCTCTCCGATCCCACGAGAACCATGATGGAAATACTCCCGGGCTGATGGAAGCGGGAACGATGGCTTAGCGCGCTTGCAAGCGCGAGCACTGTCTTTGCTGATAAACCTTTGGGAAGTTGCCTGAGCCACTTTACTGGTCAGAAACACAAGTGGTAGGCAAGAAAAGGAGACAACATACCTGACCCTTGTTGGAGCAATCAGCAAAAGAATGACTATTGGCACCACAATGCACACAGGAAGATGGCTCTTCCTAGAATTACAATCTCTTAGCGAAGAGGACACCGATAACATGCAAAGACCCTGACCTTGTAGGGTTCCTTACGCTTGTCCCCAGTAACCACATCGCTGGATCTAGTCTTGGAAAACTTTAGAAACCGCCCAGCCCTGGAGGCCTCCTCATCAATGACCATCTTGAGGAGATTGGACGTCAGATAGTCAGGCAGAGATAGCGCGTGAAGGGAGCAGGAGCCGGTGGGAAACGGAGGATGGATTCCCATCCTTATAACCCGGCTCTCCAGGCAGAAGAAGAGAAGCGTCGTAGTCCCACTAGCATGAGGGAAACATGAGCGAGCGAAGCAGGCTGGGAAATAAGGGGACATACCAAGGAATTCTTACGCTCCACCTCCGTAAGTGCCCAAGCTTTCCACTCCTTGCATTGGAGATGGGTAGGAATACGCTGAACGAGCTTGTCAAGCTCTAGACGGAAGGACACGCCGTAGTTGGAGTCACGCAGGTCGAAATGCATGAGGCCGGCATGATATGTGGCCTAGAAAGGCAAAGTAGGCATGAACGAGCTAATAAGTAGGAAGTAAGCACGCACCAAGTAAGGGGTCGCCCGGTTAACGGCAACGACAAGGTCCT